TGTGGTGGGTCAGAGACACTGAAGGGCATTCTCCCTCATGTGCTGGCTTGCCAAAGGCTTTGGTGTCATGTGTTCCTGAACAGGCTTTGTTTTGCTTTTCAGAAATAGAAATAAGCTTCATTCAGATGAGGGATGCAAGCACTTAGAAAATATGCATCCTTGAAATTATATGGATCCTTGAATTATATATTGTCATATATATGGATTTTATATGGATCCTTGAATTATATGCATCCTTGAATTATATATTGTCAACCACTAGTTGACAAGCTGCTTAATCAGATATCATTAATGAGCAGTAGACATGCCAGTTCTTCTAAAGACAGTGCCACTGTTGCTTGTCTTTAATATTGACTGATCAAGTAGTTGGAATATTCTGGAAAATGTCCTAAACTTTCCACTAGAAGGAATAAACTATGTTGATTATCTCTGAGGGGATATTTTTAAAGCTTAATTAAACATTTAGATCATCTTTCAAATGTGCAGGATGATTGTACTTACACTCGTTTTCTTTTTGTATATCCCAAGGGACATTTTCAGACATTTGCGTAAATCACTCAATAACCAAGTGTGTATGGAGAGCTTACTATATGCTCAGTATAGAGGTTGAGTTATTAGCACCAGGCCCATAGTAGGCAGCTTGGTGTACTGTGACAATACTTTATCCTATCAAGTTGTTTTTTTTTTTTTTTCTCTGTCTCTCTCTCTGTACCTTTACAGGCCAGAAGCTGGGCTTATAGAGATTCTCTAAGGGCAGAAGAAAACAGAAAATTGCAAAAGATGAAGGATGAACAACATCAAAAGGTACTTACAAGCCCCCACTAGTTATTGCTAACTGTTTATTTGAGGTACTAGATAATTTTGAAGAATTTCTGAACAGAAATATTTAGAAACATAAAAATTCTGAAAACAAGAATACAAGCATTGAAGATAAAAGGTGAGTTTCTGAATGTGTCTTAAGAGTATGGTGGGGGCTCCTTCTGGTCAAAACTTTCATGGTACCTAGCCTTGTGGAGTCACAGGGGATCTGCCGTAGTTGGTGCCAGTAGGTCACAAAGAAGATGATAGAGCACTGGTGAACTTCTCTTCTGCAAAACAAAACACCACCACCATCATTGCTATTTTTAAACCAAAGATACATAAAATTAGAGATGGTATCCAGAGAATGTGATAATGTGTAAGAAAGTAGGCTTGCAAAGTTATGAAACTGACATAAATATTCACTAAAAATAGTTATACACATACATTAAAACAAAGTTACACTACACGGGTATAAAAATATGTGAGGCATTCCATATGTTTTGAGCATTGGAAATCAGTGAAATGAATGCAGAGTGTTCTAAGAAAAAGTGCTTAAAGAATAATCTTCATTACAATATGAAATTTCTGGTATGGTAACTGAAAATAGTCAGTGGCATACTTGGCGGTCATACTTGCTTTTAATAGGCCAGAAGCTCCTCAGCATGAAATGAGAATGACAAGAAAGACCCATGGTTAGCTCCAAAGTGCCACTTTATTTCAGATCCTTTAAACAAGAAAGAAAAGGAGTGGGGTGGGGCTGGAACTAACTAAATAATTTATCATTCCCAACAGTCTTATTTTCCAACTTTTCCTCTTGCCATACTAGTGGTTGACAAATGCTGTCACTATTTCTTATAGAACATTTCTCAAATCTATATCTTCAATTCTTTAATTAACTAGAATTCTAGCTCCCATTTTGATTTCCTTGATTTGGTTTAATTTATTTTTTCTTTGTCTTTCCCAGACAAGGTAATTTATTACAACAACGGTGTGTAAAAATTCCACTGAAAAATGAACTATTTGTACTAACTGATGTTGCTAGAATTTGACCCTTTTGAGTGCTGTCTTCTTCCCAACAGTGTGGAACCCCTTTCTCATTCATAGTTTCACCCAGCATATGGTATAAATGTGTCACTTGGGTGTTTTGTGCACCACAGGTCATCATTAAATCTTTGAAAGAAATCGTGTCAGTTGTAAAGTTACTTATTTAGCTCCTATGTAAGCAAAGACGAACCATGAAACACTTTTATCCCTTAGTGTTTTTTTTTCTTTTAATAAATATCTTTTTGTCTTGACAAGATCCTAATCTTGAAATCTACCATTGATAGGCAATGTTATGGTGAGATTCTAGTAGTTAACAAGCAGAAGCTAAATCTGGTCCATCGTCATGTTGTACTTTTAGTGATGTCTGCCAAATGACATAAAGGTGTTCATCTGTTTCTATGAGCTTTTAACTTAACATAAAATTGTGATGTACGTAGCATACTAAGGTGAATGTTGCAAAGTCAGTTGTAGATATGATTTATTTTTAAATAACTTCTAGTGGATTTTAAATAGCGTTTTTAAAAGTTTGGTATATGTATTTGGAACATAAAAACTATTAAAAGTAGCACATTTGACAAAGAGCATGCTTAACAAATTAGAATACTAGATCTGGGATTTAATTTTCGGGTTGAGCAGTTATTTTAAACAGTGAAAATTAAACTTTTTATTTCTTAATCTTGTTTTTATTCTAGGCTTAGATAAATATTGATATATACATATTTTCTGGTTATTCATTGACCATATTTTTATTATATATCCTTTTACATACTTTATTTCCTTTTACTTACTGTAGCTTTCAGTAAAATGAATAACTTTAATATATAAATAATTCCATCATTAGGGATTTCAGTAACACAAGGATATTTATCCATCTATTCTACCTTACTTTTGCTTCTCTCTTGTTTTGCCTGATGTGTTGTTGTTGGGAAATGTTCATTGAAGGCATTTCCTTTTTTTTGAGACCGGGTCTCACTGTCACCCAGACTGGAGTGCAGTGGCATGATCTCGGCTCATGACAACCTCTGCCTCCCAGGCTCAAGTGATTCTCCTGCCTCAGCCTCCCAAGTAGCTGGGATTACAGGCACATGCCACTAACACGCAGCTAATTTTTGTATATTTAGTAGAAACGGGGTTTCACCATGTTGGCCAGGCTGGTCTCAAACTCCTGACCTCAAATGATCCACCCGCCTTGGCCTCCCAAAGTGCTGGGATTACAGACGTGAGCCACCACACCCGGCCTAAGGCATTTCTTTCTGTGTAGACCCTTTCATTCCTTATCACTTGAATTATTTACCTTAAGAAAATGGGAGGATCATGTTTACTATAAGAAGATACAAAACACAATACATTTTTATCATTGCACCCATTTATGTGTTTGTTTATTCCATTCATTCAACAAATACTTATTGGATACCTACTATGGAATAATTCTTAGGTAAATAATCTAGGTTAAGTTTAGGTGATACCACATAGTTTTGTTCTATGTGTCTCTCTGACTTTCACATTTTTAATTACTCTGGGCTCTGGGGACAAAAAGAGCCTCCTCAAGCTTAAACTCTAAATATTTTACATGTGATTCACTTCCTTCTTCTAGAAATTTATTTGTAATTCCTCTTTTTTCCATATCTTCAATACATTCTTCTCCATTGGATACTTCCTTTTTTTGTCAGAAATATGCCACGGTAGGTGCCAGTAGGTCATGAAGAAGATGATAGGGCACACGTGAACTTCTCATCTCATCTCACTATTCTAAAATAAACCAGCTAACCCCTTCCTTGATTTTGCTATCCTCAGAGATATTACCTTTACTACTTCTAGCAAATTTAAAAAAAGACAAAGGTAATTTTACTGTAACCACTTCTTTATTACCCACCTCATCCTTAATTCCTTATGATCTGGTTTATATTCACAAATGCTGTTACTGAAATTGTTTCCTAAATATAAAATCTCTTCTGAACATACGGTTTAGTGGTCTTTTTGTAATTCCTATCTTCTCCCTGAACTCTGTAACACCAACACCACTTTAAAGCTTTCCTTTTCTGGCTTTATTTTTTTTTAAACTGTATTTTTCTGGTTGATCTGTCTCAGGGTAATCTCACCCAGCACTCATTCATTCATTCTATCAGCAAACATGTATTGAGTTCCTGTTATATACTGAGCCTTGTGCAAGTTGCTGAAGCTATAATTAAGATCAGGATAGACAAGTTTCCAGCTCTCCCGAAATTTACATTTTAATGGAGGAGGTAGACAATTAAAAGGAGACAAACAAATACAATATTATACTTACAAATTTTATAGTGATTCATCACCTTGTAGTTATTTGTAGTAACTAATTGTGTTAGTTATCTCATTACTATAAAGAACTATCTGAGACTGGGTAATTTATAAAGAAAAGAGGTTTAATTGGCTCACAGTTCTGCAGGCTATACAGAAAACATGGCTGGGAAGGCCTCAGGAAACTTAGAATCATGGTGGAAGCCGAAGGGGAAGGAAGCACATCTTCACATGGCCAACAGGAGAGAGAGCAAAGGTGGATGTGCTATATACTTTTAAACAAACAGATTTCCTGAGAACTTGCTATCATGAGAACACAGGGAGGCAATCTGCCTCCATGATCTAATTACCTCGCACCAGGTCCCTCCCCCAAAATTGGGAATTACAATTCAACATGAGATTTGACTAGGGACACAGAGCCAAACCATAACCCTAATGCTGCAAGGAAATAAATTATGTGTTGTGATAATTTCAGAGTGATGTATCAAATGTTGTTGATTGCCTGCCTCTCTACTGTTCTGATTTTTCTTCAAGTATCCGTTCTACTTTGCATGAACTGTGTTTCAGAAAAGACAGGTTCTACCCCAGCTCCAGGATTCATTCCCAAAGTGGTCTAACTCTTCATGAGAATTCCATTCTCCTTGACTGCGATTGGTTTCGCTGTGGACATGTGATACAGTTTTGACCAATGATACTAAGGGGAACCTACCTTTGAGGATAGATTTTATCAATATGAAGTATACTACTTTTTGCATTTAATGATTTGTCAGCTTGATTTCTTTTTTGACTATTTTGTCTGATTCTAATAATTCCTCTACCAGTTTTTTTGTTGTTGTTGTTAGCATTTACATGACATTTCTTTAATCACTTAATTTTAACATCTCTGTGTCATGGTTTGAAGTAGATTTTGAGTGGAAAAAAATGTCTAGTTTTCCTTTTACCTAGTTTCAGAATATCTTTTAATGGGTAGATTGATGTATTCTCATTTATTATGATTACTAGCACATTTGCATGTATTTGTATTCTTACTACATGATTTACTTTTTATTAGTTATGTTTTCTTTTATTTACTGACACTGAATTTTCTGTTTCATTTATTTACTGTTTTTTTTTCTTCTCTCCACTCCCCCTTCCTGTACTATAAGAAATTTCAGTGTTTCTATTTTTGTTTCTAATCTTGCATAGCCTTTGGTTGTCTCTTTTAATCTGAAAATACATGTCTCTCTTCAGTTTTCCCTTTTTCTTCCTAATTTTCTTTTATGTCTCTTTACCCATATTGTCTTTGCTCTCCATTTCTGGGACATCTATCAAATGGACTTTGGACATTTCAGATCTATTCTGTGTATACCTTCATTGTTTTCTTATACTTCTTATCCCTTTGGCCTTTTTTCTTTTAATTGATTCTGGAAGAAAGCTTTAGCTAGATCATCCTGCTCACTAAATTTTTTTCTTGACTTTTCATTCTGCTTATTTGGCACATATTGAGTATGTCTATTTACCAAGATTGCTGATTTGGGAAGTAGCGGTGTTCTGCTTTGTAAGTGCAGTATTCTTTCTCATCTCATTTTACTTAATGTTTGTATGTTTGTAGCTATACAAACATTAAAGTTTTCTATTTACCATATTAACTGTTTTTTTTCTTTCCATTTTAATCTTTATCTCCCATGGAATTCTTTCTCAAATGT